GTTTTGGTCCACCTCAAACCCATTCTGCTCAAGAGGTCTCGCCACAGCACTTCGCATATCCAACATATCTTGGAATACCATCAGCTTTCAATCCAAGGCAGTATAATAGCTATGTAAATCCTGTCTTCACTGTAAAGGTAGCAGAACCAATTCCTGATCTAGATGATTTAAAAGAAAAAGAGAAGGAAAAGATGAGAGTGGAAGTTGAGGAAAGTTCCAAAATTAGCATGCTAGAGCAAAGGCTAAGGGCTGTGGAAGGATTTAGTTTTTATGGGTCAGTTGATGCTGCTGGGCTCTGCCTAGTTCCTGATGTGGTTATCCCTCATAAGTTTAAAGTACCAAAATTTAAAAAATATAACGGTACAAAATGCCCCAAAACCCACATCACCATGTATTGCAGAAAGATGACAGCTCATGCACATGATGAAAAACTCTTGATGCATGTTTTCCAGGACAGTCTTACTGGCTCTACGACCAGATGGTATGTTCAGCTGGACAGGACTCGCATTCGCTCTTGGAGCGATATGGCACATGACTTTATCAGTCAATATCGACATATCATCGATTTGGCCCCAGATCATTTGTCTTTGCAGAATCTAGAAAAAAAGGCAAATGAGTCTTTTAAAGAGTATGCCCAGAGGTGGAGAGATGTTGCTTTTCAAGTACAACCTCTTCTGACCGAGAAAAAAACTATAGTGCTATTTGTTAGCACTTTAAAATCTCCCTATTATGAAAAGATGATAGGGAATGCGACAAAAAATTTTCCTGATATAGTAATCTCGGGAGAGATCATTGAGAGTGTCATCAAGAATGGCAAGCTAGAAGGAAATGAAGCATCTAGCAAAAGAGTCTCGAAGAAAAAAGAAACTGAAGCTCAGGCTGTGAGCTTTGATAGACGACAAATCAGAGGTTATTCACCTTACCCACCACCAAAATATTTACCATATCACCCCATTATAAATAACAATTCCTTTCACCCATACTAACCATTTACACAACCACCATACCCCCAAACCTATCAAACCCTTCATAGATCCCAAAATACCATTTACAGTCCTAACATTCAACCTACCTCAAGACCATAAAATCGCCTAACTAATCCTGTTGGTAGCTCGCGGGAGCAACGAACCACTCGTGAGAAACTTATTTTTGACCCTATTCCAATGACCTATACGAAATTGTATAAGGAGCTCTAAAACAATCATTTGATTGCTCCAAGCAAATTGAAACCCCTTAAGCCACCTTACCCCAAGTGGTATGATCCCACCGCCCATTGTGACTACCATTATGGGATTGCTGGTCACTCTACTGAAAATTACACTATCCTAAAACATAAAGTGTAATGGTTGATCAAGGATAGGATGATTTGCTTTGACACTGGAGGGATGACTGCGCCAAATGTTAGTGGCAATCTTTTGCCAAATCATATTGTGAATGCTATAGGTGAAGAACAGGAGTGCCATGTGAGAAAAGAAGTGGCAGATATTAAGACACCTCTCAACCAATTGTTTGATGTTTTACGAAAAGCAGACATGATACAACTGGTACGTCCATACAGCTATCATGGAGCATATATAGCTGGTACTAGTTGTAAGTATCATAGTGGGGCAATAGGTCATTCCATTGAAACCTGTGAGCAGTTTCACCAAGAGGTGCAAAAACTCTTGAATTCACATCAGATGAAAGTCTATGAAGAAAAAAAAGACTTGAAGAATGTTGAGGTGCACATGACTGATAGGCCTGAAAAGCTGTTTCTCAAACTAGTGACAATTCAGTGTGGGAACAAACTAAAGTCAGTCATAGACAAACTCTTCCCCAGGCCAGTAACTTTTAAAGTCCCAACTCTTTTCCCATATAAAGATGATAAAGTTGTACCCTGGAGATATGGCTGTGACACTGTAGTTTAGGGACAAAAAAAAGAGGTCTCCAAAGTCGATGCTTCCAATATTACTGGTATAGGAGGCATTACTCGAAGTGAAAGATGTTACACCCCAGAAATGCTAGAGAAAGCTAAAAGAGAGAAGGCTAAAGAAAGAGAAAGGTAAAATAATCTTGAGATAAAACCTGAAAAAGATCAACCAAAGCCAGTATCAAAAAATGAAGTTTGTGAATTCTTGAAGTTGGTAAAACATAGCGAGTATTCTGTTATGGAACAGTTGAATAAAATGCCAGCTTGAATCTCATTATTATCACTATTGCTGAACTCAGAGCCACATCGAAATGCCTTGCTGAAAGTATTGAATCAGGCATACATGGCACATAACGTGTTTGTCGAATATGTGAACCACTTGACTGGAAATCTAGTTATGCCAAATCACATTTCATTCAGTGATGATGAGATTCCTTTGGAGAAAAAAAGAAATGCCAAGGCTCTACATATCACAGTCAAGTGCAAGAGCCATATTATAGCCAAGGTCCTTATCGATAATGGCTCTGCTATCAACGTCATGCTTATGTCAATTTTGGCAAGGCTACCCATCGATTATTCTCATATGAGGGATAGTCAGATGATTGTGAGAGCCTTTGATGGGACCAGAAAAGAAGTCCTGAAAGATATTGAGATACCTTTACAAATTGGGCCATGCACCTTCAATGTAAAATTTCAAGTGATGGACATCTCTCCGTCCTACAACTGTTTGTTAAGAAGACCATGGATTCATATGGCAGGAGCTGTGCCCTCTACTTTACATCAGAAGATCAAGTTCAATATGGAAGGTCAATTAGTAGTGGTAGTTGGGGAAGAAGATATGCTAGTGACCCAACCATTGAACACTCCATATGTAGAGGCTACCGAAGAAGCATTGGAATGCTCCTATCGGTCTTTTGAATTGGTTAATACTGTAGGTGAAGGATCTCAAAGTCAACCTTTTTCAAAGATAGTGGTGAGCCAAGTCATCAATAAAGGCTGGTGTCCAGGACTTGGGCTAAACAAAAATTTACAGGGAATTAAAGAACCTCCAACAATAGTGGACAATAGCGACAGGGCAGGCCTAAGCTATGAGATGGTAGAATGAGAAGTCAAAAGAAGGCCATTAAAAAAGACAGCAAGACTGATGTTTATCCCACACTTGTATGAAACTTTCAGACCTGAAGGATTCATGTACCCAGATGCAAAGAAAAGTATGAAAGATGATTTTGCCCAGTTAGCTATTAATGCTGTTGAAGATGAAGTGAGGGTTAATCAAGAGGAGTGGGTTCATCTTTGTCCACTAGATTATGAGTTGAACAATTGGAGTGCCATCAAAATGCCTTTGACTTTTGATTTTGAGACATCTCAATAGCTTTTGCCCAAGGCTATGGGGTGATCTTTTTTTGTTTGGGCCATTCATCATATTATTTTTAATAAAAAATAAAAATGATGCATTTTCATTCATTTCTTCTTATGCCTTTATTATTTTCATCTTTCTAAGCACACTTTGCCAACATATTCCATTTCATTCAATTTTAGGTCTTTAAATGAACATGAAGATAATCATGATAACAATCAAGAGGTTAGCTTTGAGAATTCAATTAATACTGATGAACTTGATAACGAAGAGAATTCTGAAGAATATGTTATGCCTTCAAACATAATGAGGATGATTGAACAAGAGAATAAGCCAATTGAGCCTCATCAGGAGGTAGTGGACTTAGTGAATCTGAGAAATGAAGAGAATAAGAAAGAAATCAGAATGAGCACTTCACTTTCATCAGAAAATAGGCAACAATTGACAGACCTACTTCAAGAATTTATAGATATATTTACTTGGTCTTACCAAGATATGCCAGGACTAAGCACAGAGATAGTGGATCATAGATTGCCCCTAAAGCCAGAATGTAAGCCAGTTGAGCAGAAACTGAGATGGATGAAGCCCGAAATGCTGCTAAAGATTAAAGAAGAGGTGAAGAAACAATTTGATGTAAGTTTTCTACAAGTGACTAAGTATCCAGAATGGGTAGCCAAAATAGTCCCAGTTCCTAAGAAAGATGAAAGAGTACGAATGTGTGTGGACTATCGAGACTTAAATAAGGCTAGCCCAAAGGATAACTTTTTTTTGCCTCATATCGACACATTGGTAGATAACACGGCTAAGCATTCGATTTTCTCTTTTATGGATGGTTTCTCAGGGTATAATCAAATAAAGATGACTGCAGATGATATGGAAAAGACTACTTTTGTGACCATGTAGGGAACCTTCTGTTATAAAGTCATGCTTTTTGGGTTGAAAAATGCTGGGGCAACATATCAAAGAGCCATGGTAACACTTTTCTATGACATGATGCACAAAGAGATTGAGGTGTATGTAGATGATATGATTGCAAAGTCTTGTGAGAATGAAAATCATGTCACCAGCCTCAAAAAGTTATTTGAGAGGTTGAGAAAATTTCAGCTCAAATTAAATCCAGCCAAGTGCACCTTTGGGGTAAAGTCAGGCAAGTTGCTAGGCTTTGTGGTCAGTGAAAAAAAAATTGAAGTTGATTCCGATAAGATACGGGCCATCCAGAATTTGTCACCTCTCAACACACCAAAAGAAGTTCAAAGTTTTCTGGGGAGATTGAACTACATTTCTCGGTTCATCTCTCAACTTACCTACAAATGTGATCCCATCTTTAAGCTTCTCCGTAAAGATAATCCTGAGAAATGGAATGAAGAATGTCAAGAGACGTTTGATAAAATTAAGTAATATTTATCGAACCCTCCAGTATTGGTGCCATCTGTTCCAGAAAAACCTTTAATTTTGTACCTAACTGTATATGAAAATTTAATAAGATGTGTGCTGAGGCAGCAAAATGAGGCTAATCAGAAAGAGAGAGCTATTTATTATCTGAGTAAAAAGTTCACGAAATATGAATCCAAGTATTCTTCACTGAAAAAAATGTGTTGTGCATTAGCGTGGACTGCCAAAAGACTCAGACAGTACATGCTCTATCATACTACGTGGCTCATAGCGAAACTGGATCCCATTAAGTATATCTTCGAGAAGCTTTCTTTGTCTGAGAGAATCGCTAGATGGTAAATAATGCTCTCGAAATACAATATTATATACGTGAGCCAAAAAGCAATAAAAAGGGACGCTATAGCAGAATTGCTTGCAGATCGCGCTACTGAAGAGTATGAACCGATGAAGCTAAAATTTCCTGATGAAGACTTAATGACTATTTTTCAACTGGAAGAAGGGGAGCATGTAGAAAAATGTTGGAGAATGTACTTTGATGGAGCTGCTAATGCCTTGGGGCATAGAATTGGGGTAATTCTAATTTCTTCAAAAGAACAATACTACCCTGTAATAGCGAGGTTAAATTTTAATTGCATAAATAACATCGTTGAGTATGAGGCATGTGTCATGGGCCTACAAGCTGCTATGGATAAAAGAGTGAAAGTACTGAAAATATTTGAAGACTCAGCTCTAGTCATATATCAGTTGAAAAGAGAATGGGAAACGAGAGACTCAAAACTCGTTCCATATCATAAGTATATTCTAGAGCTGACAAAGTAATTTGAAGATGTCCAGTTTGATCACCTACCTCGAGAAGAGAATGTGATTGCTGATGCATTGGCTACTTTGGCTGCAATGATTCGAATTAATGATAATACCGACATTTAGCCCATCAAGTTAGATGTTAAGGATATACCAACGTATTGTTCTAATGTAGAGGGAGAAAAAGATGGAAAGCCCTGGTATTATGACATCTTACAGTATGTCAAGGATCAGCCGTATCCAGTTCAAGTAACAGAAAATGATAAAAGGGTCATCCGAAGATTGGCTATGAGCTTTTTCCTGGGTGGGGATGTCTTATACAAAAGAAGCAAGGATCAAGTATTATTGAGGTGTGTAAATGAAACTGAAGTAAAGAAAATCATTAAAGAGGTGCATGATGAAATATGTGGGGCACATACTAGTGGACATATGATGGCAAGATAGATCATGAGAGTGGGATATTACTGGTTGACTATAAAAAATGATTGCATTGATTATGCTCGTAAATGTCATAAATGCCAGATATATGCTGATAAGATTCATGCTCCACCGTCTGCTTTACATGTTATGGCACCATCATGGCCATTTTCAATGTGGGGCATAGATGTCATTGGTCTAATCACCCCAAAGGCGTTTAACCGGCACAGATTCATTTTCGTGATGATAGGTTACTTCACAAAATGGGTAGAAGCAGCATCATATGTGAATGTGACACGCTCTGTGATTTACAAGTTCATAAAAAAGAAGATCATCTGTAAATATAGACTTTCGAAAAGAATTATTTCAGATAATGCCAAGAATCTAAATAGTAAGATGATGTAAAAAATATGTGCTCAATATAAGATCAAGCATCATAACTCAGCACCATACCGTTCGAAAATGAATGGGGCAGTTGAGGCAGCCAATAAGAACATAAAGATGATTTTAGAAAAGATGATCGAGACTTACAAGGATTGGCATGAGAAGTTGCCATTTGCATTGCATGCATATCGAACGTCAGTTCGCACCTCTACTGGGGTAATCCCATTCTCTTTGATTTATGGGATGAAGCTGTACTACCAGTGGAAGTAGAGATCCCCTCTTTGAGAGTCTTAAAAGAAGTTGAATTGAAAGAAGCTGAATAGATTCGAGAACGTTATGAGCAGTTAAATCTCATAGAAGAGAAGAGATTGACTGCGTTGTGCCATGGTCAGCTATATCAAAGAAAAATGATAAGGGCTCATGATAAGAAGATTCGACCCCGTTGCTTTCGAAAAAGAGAGTTGGTTTTGAAAAAAATCCTCCCAATCCAGCACGATAGTAGAAGAAAATGAACTCCGAATTAGGAAGGGCCGTATGTGGTGAAACGGGCTTTTTTGGGTGGAGCGTTGATACTGACTGAGATGGATGGAAATGATTTACCCCATCCTGTAAATTCTGATGCTGTGAAGAAATACTATGCTTGAAAAAAATAAAAAATTAAAAAATTAAAAAATGAAAAAAATGAAAAAATGATGAAAAAATTGAAAAAATGAAAAAAAGAAAAGAAAAAGTGAATGAAAAAGGAGGACTCAAGGCGAAAACCTAAAAAGGGCGATTTGAGTCATAAGGGGTTTTGTCTAAGTTGAAACTTGAAAAGGCGGCTTAGATAAAGAGAATACAGCATCGAATTTAAAAGTCTGTTGATATGGAGGTTAGCAAATTCGAAAGAGTTCCAAGTTGTTAAATACATCAGAGGGTTGAGTTTTAGAAAAAACTTTGAGATGTGTTATCATGATTATCTGATTGTTCATTTTAGGCTTTGTCCCTATACCTATCCTTGTAATTTTCTCTTGGCCAAAGTTTGCCAACATTTTGCTAATAAGAAACGTTTTATTTCATTCTTTGTGCCTTTTCCTGATAACTGTTTCCCAACCATTCATATTCTTTTCTTCTCAATACCCCACCATGAAAGAAATGTGGAAATGCATTCTCACTTTTTGAGTTTGAAATAATGATTGATGAATGAATAACAACATAAAAAGATCTTTACATTACATTGAATAAGTCAAAAGTAAAAAAGGCAGAATCGAGATGTTCAGCTCCTGATTAGGACATTGAATTTGGGAAAAGATTTTTTGTTACAGGAAGAATATGAGTGGAAGAAATAATTAAGAGCTACACTGGTTCAATCCTAGAAGAGCAGTGTAATTGGATCCTTGAAGAATCAAAGGGCTTGACACCCAAAAAGAAAAGACGCTTGAGAAACTAGAGTACCATACATTGAATAGGAATTATTTGGCCAACATTTGCATAGCATGCATTGAAATTCATATGCATTTGCATAGCATACACTACTTTTAAGAAAGTATAGTGTATGAATTCAAGAAGCAGGGGTGTTTCAACATCCCACATAGAGCAGACAGATATGAAGATATTTTGCAAGTTTGAGAAGAAACTTGTCAGGTAAGTTCCTAATCCTTGAAATAGGATGTCTTTTGGTATCAGGGTTGATTTATAAGACCTTTGGGCATAATCTCCTAAAATTCCTTCAAACACAACTTTCAACTCCTTTGGACATGATTGTCAAGGAGTAATTTACTTTTCCAAAGTCATGGTGCCTCTGTTTAAAGGAGCAATTTACTTTCCAAAGTCGTGGTGCCTCTATTTAGAGGAGCAATTTACTTTTTCAAAGTTGTGGTGCCTCTGTTTAAAGGAGCAATTTATTTTCCAAAGTCGTGGTGCCTCTGTTTAGAGGAGCAATTTACTTTTCCAAAGTCGTGGTGTCTCTGTTTAGAGGAGCAATTTACTTTCCAAAATCGTGGTGCCTCTGTTTAGAGAAGCAATTTACTTTCCAAAGTCGTGGTGCCTCTGTTTAGAGGAGTAATTTATGTTTCTCAAAGTCATTGAGCCTCTGTTTATAAGAGCTTTGGTAAAAAAAAAACAAAAAAAATGATAATGTTGAGTTAAGTCTTGATTGGGTGTCTACGTCTTTGCGTAATTTCTGTTTCACAAAAAATGTGCAAAGAGGGGCAGCTGTAGACACCCAATTAAGTCCAGGCCCAGATCAATTGGGCATGGCCCAAATGGGTAAGGCCCAATTCAATTTTTATCCTGTATTATTATTATTATTTTTTCTTCTTTTGTATTTTATGTATTTTATTATTTATTATTATTATTATGTATTAATATATGTATATCTTTTATTTATTTATTTATTTTTTTGTTAATATTTATATGTATTTTATTTATATAGTTATATATTTATTATTATTATATTATTATTATTTTTTGTAATATATTTTTGGGTTTATCTTATTTTATTTTTTATTATTTTTTAAAATTATCTGTTAATTTTATCTGATTTTTTTCCCGATTATCTGATTAGTATTATTATTTTTTGTTTTCTTTTTTTTATGGCTGTGATTAAAAGTTGAAGAATCCCATTGTGAATGGAAATTCAATCAGAAGAGTCCAGATTGGATTCAAAGATTAAATTCCCATCCAAAGAGGAATTGGGATTGATCAGGAACTCCTGATCAATCCCTATAAAAGGGACCTCTGGAACAGAATGAAGAACACGGAGAAAACAATAAGCAAAAGCTACTAATTGAGAGAATAGGGGCGTATAGAGAGCTAAGAAAAGATTTATGAGTGTTCTGGGAGTGAGAAGAAATTTTTTGAAGCTTTTTGGCGATTTTTTTTTTGGTAATTTCTGGAAATTCCAGATTTCGATGAATTTTTCGGTGAAGTTTGAACTTTTCGACGAAAATTTCGGCCAAACTTGAAGTTTTCGGCGACCTGCCCAGTTTCCGGTGAAGAATCCCAGAAACCGATGATCTTCCGACCAACTTTCGACGAACCTCCGGTGAAATTTTTCAGATTTCGACACCATTTTCCAGAATCTGACGAACATTCAATCGGAGTTCTTCAGCTTTTAAAGAGAAGGGAGAGAAAAAGAGAAGAAGTGAGAGAAAAGAGAGGAGCTATCTGTCGAAAAACAGAGGGAAGGACCTTAAATACCCTCTCAAAACGACGTTGTTTTGGCCTTAAGTGACCAGAGGATCCGCGCGTTTTGTTGAAATCCGACCCGACCCAGGGTCGACCCGCTTTCTGACCCGCGCGTGTCGCCCCCCCTCCGAGCCGAGCTTCCCAAGCCGCCCCTCCCGAGCCGTTTCTCTTCCTTAAGCCGAGCCGCGATCCGAGCCGCTCCAGGTTTTTTTTTCTTTTTTTTTTGAATTTTTTTTATTTTCTTTTATTTGTTTATTTGTTTATTTTATTTTTTTTATTTATTAGGTTAGGTTTATTTAATATTCTTTTTATCTTAATTTTATTTTTATTTTTGTTTTACTTTTCTTTATTTTTTATTTTTATTTATTTTTTTATTATTCTATTTTCTTTAAATAAAAATCAAAATTTTCAAAAAAAATATTTTTAGGAAAAAGTTGAAAGTATCAATTTTCCTTAAAAATAAATTAAAAAAAAAAGGTTTTTTGAGGAAAAGTTGAAAGTATCAATTTTTCTTAAAAATAAATTTCAAAAAAAGGGTTTTTTGAGGAAAAGTTGAAAGTATCAATTTTCCTTGGAAATCAAAGTTTCAAAAATATATTTTTGAGAAAAAGTTGAAAGTATCAATTTTCCTTAAAAATAAATTTCCAAAAAATATTTTTGGGAAAAAGTTGAAAGTATCAATTTTCCTTAAAAATAAGTTTCAAAAAAATATTTTTGAAGAAAAGTTGAAAGTATCAATTTTTCTTGAAAATCAAAGTTTCAAAAAAATATTTTTGAGGAAAAGTTGAAAGTATCAATTTTCCTTAAAAATAAATTTCCAAAAAATATTCTTGGGAAAAAGTTGAAAGTATCAATTTTCCTTAAAAATAAATTTCCAAAGAATATTTTTAGGGAAAAGTTGAAAGTATCAATTTTCCTTGGAAATCAAAGTTTCAAAAAAAATATTTTTGAGAAAAAGTTGAAAGTATCAATTTTCCTTAAAAATAAATTTCCAAAAAATATTTTTGGAAAAAAGTTGAAAGTACCAATTTTTCCCACACAAGAACAGT